GAGTCTCGTGCTGGGCCAGTGCTCTGCCCTGAGCTGCCCCACACCCAGGTCTTGCTTTTCCGTCTCCTGCCTTGCACAGGTGAGGCCACCAAGGCTCAGGGACAGGAAGGGTTCAGCCTGGGGAGACGGGTCTTCTGTGCCCAGCGGGGGCAGCGCACCCAGAGCTGGGATGAGCCCCGGGCCCTGCCCCCTGCCCAGCTGTTTCTCCAGCCTGGTCTCCTGTACTGGCCTCCTGCAGGCGCCTCACCTGGGCCCCCCTGCTTCCGCAGGCCCTGGTGGGGGGCAGGCCGAGGTGTCCTGCCCCGCAGGGTCTGGCCCCTGCCTGCCCCGCCCTCCTGAGCAGTGTTGTACTGAAGTCCCCTCTTGGTCCGGCCCTGTTCCTGCGTCCTCTGGGGTGGGCGGGGCAGGGGCCCAGCCACATGGGAACCTTAGATGGCCCCGAGACCCGGTCGGTGGGGTGTGCCCCGCGCCTGTTTGGGACCCGCTTAGGCCGAGAGCTGCTTATGGTGTTCTGGGGTCCAGCGCCCACTCTGCACCTGGGGGTGGCTTTACATCTGGGAACCCCCCGTGGGTGGCACCCACGCAGCATGCGGACGGTCAACCCCCCAAGATGACACCAGGGTGTGCCGGGTCAGGCCCCTGCTCAGGCCTGGAGTCGAGCCAGGTCTCTGGGACCCACGTCCTGCTCCACAGACACAGGAGGGGACCACGGGAGGTCCCCAGGGCGGTCCCAGGAAGTCGCTTCTGAAGGAGAAAACCAAGAAACAGACCCGGGTCTTCCACCTGCGTGGGGACGGTGCACATGGACAGTCGTTGGCGTCACCTTTTGTGCTACGTGGACTCTTGGTGACGGTCGTGGGACTTGGAACCCTGGAGGGACGGGCGATTGAGGACTATTGATGAGAGAAAATTCCAGAGTCTCGGGTACAACCCCAGAAGGGGAGCCCCGCGGGGCTGAGTGGCCAGGGCCAGCCCTTCTGTGTCTGGCCTCCTGCCTGCCCCCGCGCTCTCCGCGGTGCCCGTCCTGCGG